TTCCGCAACCTCCACCCAAACTGACGTGACACACGCGTCTGTATATCTTACGCCCGGCCCATTTTATAGCTTCCCTGTGCGTCCCGGCCCGCCTTGTGATTGGCTGTAGCACCCTATCGCTAGCTTCCACCAATGGCGCTGTGGATCCAAATCCACCCAATGGGAGAGCAGGTAGCGGGCCCACCCCGTTGAGCTGCCGTCGCCAGGCGGGAAGGGGCGGGCCCGGTGCTTCCGGAGCAGGGGAGGCAGCGCCCGCCTTTGGGAAGGGTCAAATCACCTGACCCTCGGCTCCGGTCGTGGCTCGGTTCGGGCGAGCAACTGCGCTGCTGCTGCCCTCCGGGACGTGCTCCAGGAGGCCACCGTATAAGGAAACGTGTCCCCGCCTGCCTTAGAAGAGCAGAAGCGCGCAGCTGCCTGCCAGGAAGAGGGGGCGCCTCTGCTAATGCCATCGCTGTCACTTCAGAAAGCATCCTGGATTTAGAACCTCAGAAATGCTACTACAGCATTACTTACTATTACAAAATAAAACCAGTCCTTTTAGTAGGCACATTTTCAATGCAACACTAGTAATATGTGCAGAAACCAGTCAGGAAGATGTGTCACTGTTTAGGGCTGGGCTGGCCACCAAGTGCCAGACAGACGCTTTCTGTAAACACCTCTCCCCACCCCAAAAGGTGAAAAGAGAGAATAAGGGAGAGAGACTTATGGACTGGAAAATAAAATTAACAAATTTAATGAAACAATAGTACTACAGAATAATAATGAGAAAAATAATGAAATACAGATATGTATGAATATATATACAAATCAATATAAAATCCTCCCCCAATGATTACAGCACCAGAGACTCTGCAGAGCAGGGCATTGGAAAAGTCCCAGACCAGATCCAGCAGCAGGTGAGAGCAGGATGCAGGAAACAGATTCAAGAACACACAGATCAGGATCACAGGCAGATGAACTAGCAGGGTTCTGCTCGGACTTCAGCCATCGCAGAAGTGCAGGGGGAAGAGAAGTGAAGGGGGCAGAGAGTGAGACCCTCATGATCCCTCAGCTTTATACTGAGGCTGACATAGGTGAAATGGAATACCTAGTTGGTCAGTGTTGGGTCATCTGCCTGCTTCTTCCCAAAAGTGGAAATATGGCACTAATGGTGTGACAGTGGCCTTGACATATTTACATAACATACAAGCACTGTCACTTGTAGAAGTGAACACTGTCTGGGAAAACATGCTGTTAGTTTCAGCAAGCACAGCCGCTTAGAGACCAAGCTGAAAAGTAAAATCACTAAATAGAATATTAGTTCAATTTAGCTCAAACTGGGACAACATGTAACAGGGGAAATCTCTCTGTATTTGGAGGCAAATCCCTCAAGTATTACTGTAATCAAGTGATCATGGTATTATTTGCAAGGCTGCTCTGCAGAGCATAGAAAGTCAGGCTGTGATTCTTTTATTCAGACTAGAGCCATGATTCCCACCAGGCTAGACATGACAGCCATGCAAAAAACCCAACAAACAACCAACCAACCCAAAACCACACCCACACCAAAAAAAACCCCACAAATCAAACAACAACAAACCCCAAACCAACAAAAAACTCCAAAAGAACACATTTCATCTACATTCTGCAAGTCAGAGAACAAGAGAGAATTAACTGCATCCTTCTTTCCATAAGGATACGATAGCAGGAATTCTGATCAAAAGCGCTCAGCCTATGCCAGTCATTGCAGAAGGCAATACAAAAGAAAAAACTTCACAGCACACACAGAGTACTGTCACAACTTGTTTATGTTTGGGCAATGAAGACAAGCTGCCTGGCCTAAAGGTTTAGTAACTTTTAGAAAGCACCTTTCCTTAGTGGTGTGGTTCAATGGATTACACTACATTAACTATTCTCAGGAATTTATCTGTATTTCCATCTTTGTGCCATCACTGGTTTTCACTGATCTGTTGGGCAAGCCACATCACTTCTGTTCCTCAGTCCCTTCCCAACCCCTTTCCTCCCTGTGATCATTTCTTCTTCTGTCAACACTGCTCACAGCCACAGATGAAAAACATGACCACAAGATGGAGGTGGCACTACAGTGAAGAATCCCAAAGCTCTGTAATACCACAGTACAAAGACGAGAACAAATTGGCCTGGTTTTATGTTACTGGTTGTCCAGAGCTAAGAAGATCTGTTCTGGAGTTATAAAGAAGATGGCATTACAGGATTGTGCCTACGCTCATTGCCACCATAAGGTAAATACATAATTGTTTCCACAGGCTGCGTTGAAACACAGACTGTTCTCGAGTATGCCACAAGCTTGCTATTGTGTTCTTTTCTCTCCTCTAACAAAACAATTTGTATTTAAATACTAAAAAAATTATTCAACTCTCCCTCAATACATAAATTAGCAGTATGATATATATGTGGATATCTATTTCACACACTTTCTTATTCAATCCCTTTTTGACTGGTGTTGGAGTATGTAGATGCACAGTACCTATACTGGAGGCCTTTCCTATTTTTCCTTTACAGAAGTATAAGCACAAAACGTTATGTAATTCAATGGATGTTCAGCCAAAACAAATTTCATTGATCTGCTCTTTTTCAAATATTCCACTCAGAGTCATTACCAGAGGGCAAAGTTAATACATGGATAAAGGGAAAAATTCATTTATTTAGCTGATGGAAGTATTTTCAGTTTAGCAATGAAATGGCTTTACAATCTTTTCTTCTGCTGGGGGAGAAAAGGTTGTCAGCAGTCCTCAAAGCTGGATTTGATGTTCCATGGTCCATGATTTGCATGACTTCTCGCATGAAGAACCAGATGTTTATCCGAGTGCATGGACTGAAGTCAGGGCATCCACAGTTCCCACTGCTTTGATAGAAGTGACAGGAAGAGCTTACATCTTTGTGCTCTTTCTACTAAGCACTGTGTTAAAATCAAGGAAAGCTAAAAAATACCCCATGTTAAATTAGCTGAAGACATACCACAGTTCTGGTCAATCAGATGAAGTATAGGCCCCACATGCAGCGATTTTACACACAGAAAGTCCCAGCTATGTACTTGGAAAAAAACCCCAACATTGCAGCTCCTGGATAATTTGCATTCTCAAATCCAGCCCTTCAGTGTGGCACAGTGAAGAGGTTACCTCTCTTATATTGTGTGCATTCCTTGTGTACAAAATTTCCCTTTTTGAGCCCATCTAAACATCTAGCAAACTCAAATCCTTTTGTCTCTGTCTGAAGAGGAACAGATAGAGCAACAGGCATGTACTCATTCTGTCCCAAGAGAAGAAAAGATGGCTCTCCTCTGTGAGAATATGGCAAATGCAAATTAAAAAAAAAATTCAAGGAGCAGAATGAATGAGGCGACTCTTGCAGGTTACTAATGCAATCACAGGGCTACGGGGAGATTTTTTCATCTTTGAATGGGATGGAGAGGGAGGTCCTTATCCCAGAAAGGAGTTCCTCATAATTTCTGGCTGCTTCCTGGAAGGGAGGGTCAATATCACTATTAGACCTAAGGCCAGAGGTATCACAATGATGCTCTTTCCCCACCACCACCACCACCACCACCACAATCTTTTACACATTTCACTAATTAAAAAATAAAGACAAAAATTCCCTTTTAAAAAGCTAAAATATAAAGAAAGTTTTCAATAAATATAACTAAAAGAAGAACTTAAGATACTACTGACACAACTGTAATTAATGCTTGAACCTGGAGGAGAACCATTGTACAAACCTAATCTTTTGCATCCAGAATTTGTGTAAACAGAATCAAAGCTTTCAAGTGTAAGTTTGGGTAGCTAATAATTTTGTTTCTTTAGAACAGATTTAACCTCAGAACACTGAATATTCAGCTAAGTCAGAAGCTTATAGCCAATTAAAGGTGTTGAGATATCTACTAGTCTGTGGCAGCTTAACATTAATTCTCTTAATCAAAAAAATCTAAAAACTCACCAGAGTCTAGATATGCTCACCTAGAAACTGATACCTTGTTGGAGGACTCACTCTTAAAACCACTAAGACACTCACTACAAGCCCTTCACCAGGGACAAATAATTTTCTCAATTTCTTTTATGCTTTATCGTATTTGCAACACTTGCTTTTTTTTAATTCTTCAAATAGGATGAAGACACCTACATCAATACCTAATGGTCTTAAGTCTTGTGCTCCAATTCAGCATTCCAGACAAAACTGAAATATTTCAAATAAATGCAGTTCTCTGATGAGGCAGCTCATTTGGGAAAGCCTTATTGCCCACATAACTGATCCCATTGGTCTTAAAACAATTTGTCTACATGATCCCAGGAGACTTTGCAGTCTATTTCAAATTATAATAAAGATTTGTTTCTTGCATGTGGTAAGGGTTATTGGAATATTTGGCTCTGTCAGCTAAAGAATACTTCTGCTGAAACACAAAAATAATGCTTTTTAAAGCTGGAAATGTGAAAATCCTTTTTTAAAAAAGTATCTGTGACTCAAAATCACCAACTTCATAGAATTTGAAATTAAGAGATTTTTCACAAGTTATCTGTCAAGCTCTTAGAATAAAAACAGTTTACTCATTTTTACTTAAGGCAGCCTGTCCAAGATGCATCCAGTGGGTATCTGAGCTTGATATGAAGTAAGCCTTTCAATAAGGCTATATAAAAGAATTTTGTAATTATTAGTAGTACTTCAGGACTTAAGTTTCTAGCTACCAGAGAAATTCAGTTTTAAAAGTTATTATTTATAAAGTTGTTACTGCTTTTCTTTTCCGAGGTTCAGAATGCCTCTGTCTTCCTGCAAGGCCCGTAAAGAACCTCCCCCCTTTCCATCCACATGCTACTTTTAGAC